GGACTACGAAAGTAAAGACAAAACTATACTTAGTACAGTTTTGCTGAGATATTTGATTATTACCAAACATCAATCATCATAAAGAAAGTCAATACTAAAAAACACAAGTAAATAAAATATTATTTCTCATTACCTCTCGAAAAAAGGATTTCATTCAGCGATACATACAGCGATAGCGAACAGTGAACAAACTATTCATTTAATTACTGAGTGAATAAAAAAAAATTGAACAAACAAGTTATGAAAATCATACATATAAAGTTATATGAGTACAAATAAGTTTCCGCCGTTTTATTGTCGATGGCGCGGCACGGAGTTTCGGTTAGCTTTCGCAGATGATAACCGACTTAAAAAATAGTTTGGACATTCAAGAACAACATAACCTATTAATATTATTGATTTTGTATTGATAAAATATAATTTTTACAGGTTGAAAATGTCAAAATTTGAGCCAAGTAAGCGTCATTTGCGGGAAATATTAGTTTACTTCTTTAATTTAAAGAAATCTGCTGCTGAGGCGCATCAATTGCTCGTAGAAGCATAGGGTGAGGGTGCTTTGAGTCAGAGAACGTGTCGAGAGTGGTTTCAAAAGTTTAAAAACGGTGATTTCGACGTAGAAGACAAAGATCGCAGTGGAAGGCCAAAAATTTACGAGGATGCAGAATTGGAGGAATTATTGGAGGAAGATTCATCACAAACACAAAAAGAACTTGCTCTAACATTAGAAGTCACTCAGCAAGCAGTCTCACATCGTTTAAAATCATTAGGAATGATTCATAAACAAGGAAATTGGGTTCCGTACGAATTAAAGCCGAGAGATATTGAACGTCGATTATGCTTAAGTGAAATGCTGCTAGCTAGACATAAAAAAAGGGTTTTTTACATCGTATCGTAACTGGTGATGAGAAGTGGATACATTATGACAATCCAAAAAGAAGAAAATCATGGGGATTACCTGGCCACGCGTCAACATCAACAGCAAAACCGAATATTCACGGAAAAAAACTTATGCTGTGTATTTGGTGGGATCAGCTAGGTGTAGTGTATATGAGTTGCTTAATCCGAGCGAAACAATTACTGGAGCCCTCTATCGAACACAATTGATGAGATTGAGCCGAGCTCTGAAGGAAAAACGCCCTCAATACTATTCTAGACATGAAAAAATTATTCTTCTGCATGACAATGCTCGTCCACATGTTGCGGCTCCCGTGAAAAAGTACTTGGAAACACTTGATTGGGAAGTGTTACCCCACCCGCCGTATTCACCAGACATTGCACCGTCCGATTATCACCTGTTCCGGTCCATGGCACATGCTCTGACGGCGCAGCGGTTCACATCTTATGAGGATACCAAAAATTGGGTTGATTCGTGGATAGCCTCAAAAGACAAGGAGTTCTTCAGACGTGGGATTCGAATGCTGCCTGAGAGATGGGAAAAAGTGGTTGCAAGTGATGGGCAATATTTTAATTAAATTTATATTACCGTTCTTCTATAATAAATATTTAATTTGTGTTAAAAAACGGCGGAAACTTATTTGTATTCCTGTATACAATAATTAGTAATAATCATAATTAATTTTTATTGTAATTTCCAAAACACAACCAATGAGTACTTTAAATATATTATTTATTTCTCACAATTGAGAAAAAACTTAATCCTTGTATCCTTTGCTCCACTCAAATTCCTATCTAGAATCGTTCGTTGCTACAGTAGGGATCCATCTTAGCACTTCAAATTAACTTTATTTTATATTTGCATTTATTGTATAGTCAATAATTAAATATTAAAGTATCAATTTGGTAAAGCGCGCTATACTGAACATCGCCGCGTCGATGTCTCGCTCGTGCGACTCGGAGACGCTCGCGGCCGAATTTACCTAAACTAGAGCGGCGCAATTTTGTAAAAGGGCTCTTAACTAAAGACCATCAATTTGTTTAACAGATTCTTTACCAGACCCTTTAGCATAAAATCGAAAATCTTTAGCTAAAATAATAAATAATAATATTTATGTCTTACATTTTGAACATTTAATTTATATAATTTCGCTTATATTTTACAATTAAACATGATACATGCTCGCTATTGATATGAAATACAATAGAAGTTCAGTTTTTGTAAACTGAAAAAAGCATTGCAATGGCAAATTAATAAATAGTGAGTGCCCGCGACTTCAAACTGATATCCCATATTCCACTCCCCTTTTCACTAGCTTAAAGGATGATTTCTGAGATGAAAACTATCTTATATCCTTTCCCTACCTCTGTACTAAATTTAAATGAAATCAGTTCAGCGGTTTAAGCGTGAAGAGGTAACAGACAGAAAGCCCTATACATCTTCGCATTTATAGTAATAGTGTGGATGGATTACCAGCCGTTTGCGATATCGTTCCAGTTAATTTGATTTCACTGATTCATTACAATGATTAGAAAACTAAAAAAAATTGTCTTTCTCAAATTATAGCATGAACAAGGAATAAATAACGATTATTTTTTATATAAAATTGACCACTATCTGTGTGCAAATTCTTCTTGACTTCCATTCACATACTTTTATCTACCATTTCATTTACTCAAAGTTTATTTTTGCGACAGAAAATGTCGTTCTCCATGTAGGGTTCTTTAGCTCTGTACTAAAATTTCACTGATTCGGTTCTGCAGTTTAGATGTGATAGCGTAACAAACACCTTGGCAGAAAAAATGGAACGTATCCTTTATTATTTATGATAAAAAAATATCATATTTATATGGCCGCAGCAGCGCAATTATCTGAATGAATACACACGTTCACAACAATATACAACTTCACATTAATGACACACAAATATTCGCTTAGAATTACGTGTTTATTATGCAAATAACCACTACAAACTCATTACAAAACATTCACTTGGCACAGCTAACAACAGATCATGGCCACGCAGATGAAAATATTCGCCTTTTATTAATGCAATATATATAAAATACAAAATCAGACGCAACAGCAGCTAATTTCAAAACATGGTTTTTAAATCTTTAGTTTATATGTATTAAAAGGACGGCAAACAAGCATATGGCCCGCCGGATGGTAATCTTATCCCATAGACGCTTGCGATACATGTAGCAAGTAAAAAATATCACTTGTTACATGTAAACGTGTAAGTTTCAGAAATAATTGCATGTCAATTGTTTGAAGTTCCATTTGTCATCTATTTTTTAGTCCTAACAAGGTTTTTATCAACAAAAAAACAAAGAAGTTAATTGCACCCGGCATCGCATCGATGTCGATTTATTGAGTAATGACACATATTTATTGAGTTATGTCTAAAAAATCATGCTACTCTTAACATCAAAGCGTTCTATAATATATACAGCTTCTTTGTTTAGAAAAGTTAATAATAAAAACGAGTGAAACAACTGATAACGTATAAATGTATTTCGCGTATGTTGTAAGCTACAAGTTCTGTCTCGAGCTTTTATTTTTATTCGACAATGCAGTTGTTCTTACTTTAACAAAATATCGCAGGAGCAAATGATACAAGAAAATAAATAAATAATAAATAAGATTAATAATTAGCCAACATTACTATAATAACAAAGTGAGTAGATAACACTGATCAAAATAAATCATTTTATAATCTCAATAATTTATAGAACAATAACATTACTATGTTAGCCATCCACTAATTGAACCCAATCGAATTGAAATCATTAGAGATAAGTCTGCGCATGACGACTCTATGTAATTTGTCACCAAAATTATATGTCACCAAAGCACTACGAATAAATATTTATTTAGTAACAAGCGTCCGCTCGCGACTTCATCTGCGTTAACATTAGTTTTTTGGGAATTCCACACCCATTTCTCGAGGTAAAAGTATCCTATGTCTCAATCCAGGTCATAAACTATATGCGTACCAAATTTCACTCAAATCTGTTCAGTAATTTTTGTGTCATTAAGTAACAAACAAACAAACTTTCATATTTATAATATTAGTCGGAATAGTAGGTTTTGCACTCAAATCTGTTCAGTAATTTTTGTGTCATTAAGTAACAAACAAACAAACTTTCATATTTATAATATTAGCCGGAATAGTAGGTTACTCACTTTGGGGTAAGACTATTAAAATTTGTAAGAGGCCCAAACACAGCCCAGGTTTTTGACAACCATTAGTCCAGGTCAAAGGGTGACAAAAAAAACAGATACGGCCAGAACCAACAGCAATATACATAACTACATAAGCTAGGGATAACAAAATTCTATTCTTTCAAAATTGTTGATAACGAAAATCGCTTAAGCTAAACATTTTCATTCGCAGAACGGTAGCGATTAGCATCTTATAATTTTTTCATGATCCATACAAAAATAGCTTCGCCCCGTTTAAGAAAGAAAAATAAACAAAAAGAACCATACATTACATGAAATTAAAGTTATAAGAAATCCGAAGCACTTGCGCCCAAACTATTAGTACTTAATAACTTTATTTATAATAAACTAAAAACTATTGAAAGTGAAAATTTTAAAACAAAGACTTGGCAATAAATTTGGCTTTGTACACAATGAACTACACACTGCTTAATATTCGCATCTACATACATAAACTGGAAGAAACAAGGGGAACGTAACGAACTTCATTTTACATTAAAGCCGCATTGTTTCATCGATAGTAAATTTGTCTATAGTAATGTCATGGCAAATGCATAGTAAATGTGTCAAATTTTGACAAATGGTGATTTTGACTACAGTATTTAACTACAGTCAAATTTAATTATCGATGGAAGAACGCGCTTGATCCACTTCCTAAAGTTGTCGGGAATAACTAACTAGCAACTTCCCGTTTTTTTTGTTTATGAAAATAAATGTAACTAAAGACAAAAAAAAAACAAAAAGAAATTAAAACAGAAGTAGGCCATGCTCTGAAAGAAGCAGCTAAGCAAATGGTCATACTTAAAAAAAGATGAGTAGCTCTTTACTGTTAGGAAAGTTTTGACAAATGAAAGAAAAATAATAACTTTTCACGTACCCTAAAATTGTGTCCTCTTCGAAGTGGCTGACTAGCTATCGCGAGTGCATCTTGATACCCCGTCGTGCGTATGGCGACTGTGTCTAAAACATATACATATTCGAAAACATAAACAACTAGCATCTTCATCTGCGTGGTTTCATTGGTTTCCCATACAAACTTCCACCCCACTTTCACCCCAAACATTTCGGGGATAAAATCTATAATATGTCCTTTCCCGGGACTCGGATCTATTTTTCTATGCCAAATTTCCTCTAAATCGGTTCAGTAGCTTAAGCACGAAGAGGTAACAGATAAGACACACTCTCGCATTTAAAATAATAAGTATGGATAGGATAATTACAATGATTCACACAATTTTAAATACCCATAAACGTGACAAATATGTTAATGTTGCTAGTGACTTAATACCGATGTTACACATTAAACTGTTTTTAGGTTTTTAATACTGTAATAAGCACCAAACCGAACATTTTGTACTTTGTTTTATGTTAAAAGGGTGGCAAACAAGCAAATGCCCACCATAGCCTATAGAGTCTATAGGCTATGGTGGCCTATAGAGTCTATAGGCTATGGTGGTGGCTATGGAGGCCTATAGAGTCTATAGGCTATGGTGATGGCTATCGCCGCCTATAGAGTCTATAGGCTATGGTGGCCAGAAAGTTTTTGTAACAACAAATATCACTTGCTCCATTGCCTACCCTGACCCAATCGCCTACACGAGGCAGCCCTGGATCCTAACCTACCGACAGAAACACAACACCACCAAAAGGTAATGTTATTTTACTGTGGTCTTCTGTAAGGTGAAGTAGAGTCACTTCCCCTGACTGGTGCTCCAATTCGAGCGCAAAATCCGCTATACCCTACCTCTAATCATAATAAAATTCATTTATTCAGTTTAGGCTGTTACAAGCACTCATAAATGTCAAGAAGCCACGCCATCGGTTCGTAAATCTACGGCGGGAGACGTTGTTCTGAGAAGAACCGGCAAAGAAACTCAGCAAGGGCTGTTTTTTCCTCCCTGTTATTAATTACAGAGTCGTCAAATTTAAAAATTACTTCAGAGATGATTCATTAAGTCACCTTTCATTGCATAATGATTAAATATACATTAATTGTTTTCCTGCATTTTGATTGCTGTGTCATACAGTATAAATACAAATAGTGTTATTTATATTAAGTGTGACTAAATATTAACTTCAATATTAAGGAAGTCAGGGCAGACTCATCTCCGCTGGCAGCACTCGTTCACGAGCATGACGCATGAACCAGACATCGCTTTGCTCAACCATATTTTAGGGAACGTAACGACCCGCCGAAGAGACCATTAAGAGAGCATGACTACCCATAACTACCCGTACTAACTACAACATATTTACTTATAACTTAGTAACAATATTAACGTAGTAACAATATTCCAAGAAATCTTCAATATCATACTTAATTTAGGATGTTTTCTTTAAAGATGAGTATTGCAGTAACTTGCCTGAGCTGCAAAGCCGAATATTCTTTCCGTGTAAGTGGTGAAACGTATACGGTAAAGGGTGTCGTTTTCTTCTGGTTTCAGTAGTGACTAGACCAGCGGTAGTGCTGCTAGAAGGATTAGCACCATCCTCATTAAACGGAAGTTCAGCAGGCTCCATGCAATGACCGATGGTAGAATCAAAGTTCTCCTGACCATTGTTCGGGGGAACAGGCGCAGCGCTATTGCAGACACTGTTACCGTGATTCATTATTGGCTGGATCACTTTTGTGCATTCGTCGTTCGGTACTAAAACGAAGTTAGTTTAAAATTTAGAATACTTTAGGCTTGACTCCACTTTATGGGCCCATGAGTTGACACTTCACCTAACCTGGTGGTTGGTTGGGTTAGTGTTGTGACCAGAAAATTACAGCGTTATTAGGAGACCTCATCAACAAAAAAAAAATGTGATGTGTCAACTTCTGGGCGCACAAAGTACAGTTTTACCATATTTTATCATTAAATTCGCTGTCTGCACTTAGGGGGAAGGGTAAACGTAAAGTAATGCAGTTACAAATAATCTTAGACCCACATCATAAAGTAAGAGATACACATCAAAAGTAATATGGTTAATTAGAAAGAAAAATAAACAATAACAGGTACAAAGCAAGCTTTTACTCGTTTCACATACTCTTTATAATATGTTTTACTTTCAAATCTTAAAATAATAATAAATCTATTTCTTATAACATAAAAAGAACTAAATTTGAAATTTCTTACAAATATAATTATACTGTATTTTCATACAAAACATAGTGGCGTCGATTCTAACATGAATCTCTAAACCTAACTAAATTTCGAAAACAGTGTATCCTTGTCATTCTCCATACAGAATGAAAAGGAGAGACTGATGTTAAATTTAGTTTTAAGTTTAAAGAATCATGCTAAAATCGACACCATTATAGTTTTTTTGTCTAGATATAGACGAAGTTTACCGTTCGCTTTTAAAGAACTTGGCTATTTTCAATATCGAAACAAATTCTTGTAAAGCAAACCAAATTAGTATTACTATGTACTTACTTGTGGACTGGGGAAATGCGTTGCCGAGATTATTTCTTGAAACCGCTTGGATTTTGGTGACGTGCCCGAATATTTCCATTATAACATACACTTTCTGTAACAATACATTATTGAAAAAATTAAGTAATGACTAATAACAAAACTAAGGACGACCTCGGTGGCCGAGTGGTTTGTACGCCGGGTTTCAGGGTGTCTCTGACTCGAGAGGTCCGGGGTTCGAATGGATTATATTCCGGTGACATATGTATATAGGGTGAAAATGAATGTTTCTATGAAACTTCGTGAGATTGTTGGGTTACGTGTATAGAGTATGCCTGATTTTTTTCGGATTTTTTAAAATTAATTTTTCGTTTTTTAATTTTTTATTTGGTTATTTTTTTGTCATTTCTTCCTTATGAGTAACACGTCTACATAGAAGTTATAAAGCAACTTAAAATAAGCACTCTTAAAAAAACGGAAACTTAATGAATGCCTCCAGTCGAGATCAGCGCCGGCCGCGGGTGACGACCGGCGGCTGCCTGTGTAGGTACCTACTACACGCACAGATGACTCGGCGCTTACCTACTCTCTGCTTTGATTCCACACTATTTAAAAACATGACAATAAAATAGTCTTAGATGCTATATTATAATTATTTATTCACTGATACACAATACCTTTGAATATTATTTCATAAAGCACAGGTAATTAATTAATCAATAAAATAAATCTTCTGTTAGAGCAATTAAAAATCCTAAAGTTAATATGACTGTCACGATTTTAAATCGGTAAAGCCTGTCTGTTAGTGTAAGAACTTCTTTTTTATTGTTAATGTTAGTTGCCTCGTTTAATTAAAACATAAGCACAAACGGCTTATTTAAAATTGGGAAAAATCATACAGAGCAAATCGGTATAACTTACGAGCTTAGTGAAGGAAGGAACTCTTCGTGTCTGATTTTCCCACGTCATGAAATTCCGAACACATTTAATCACAGCCACAGTCACACACACACACACACATAATAATATGTTGTTTTGCGGCAAGCATGGGCGGGCGGCGCGCCGCACGCTGGCAAGAAACATGCAGCGCTAGCGCCGGTTGCGGCGTCTTTGATGATGTGAATTCCGCCCTCCTCCCCTCTTCCCCGCACGCGGTGGTTTGCTTTGATTGCATGCAAAGCGCAGTCGCAATTATATCAATCGCGCGTGGGCGTGCGCATCTTTTGACTTAGTGACATACACTGTGATAATTTCATTATGCTTCGGTATACGAACCAAGAATATTTAGAGATGGTGTACTGCTATCGCGAGTGTGACGAAGTAGGTTTGGTTTACGAATGAGTCCCCAAACCATAGAAGTTGCATTTTGTGCAGTGAGTAGTGATAGGTACACTTTAAAAAAGGTGAAAAGACACGTCCGCAAACGTGCCTACCTTTGTTTGCAGCATCATGGTGGTTTATAGCAACAATTTTGCAGATAATAATTTAAGTCTCTTTTTGTTACTAGTGTAAATACTTTTTGATTAGAAACAACTAATTGTGTACTACCAGTGTGATTGATTTGATAAAAAGTTCTAGTGAAAAAAATTAATATGTTCCTCGTTGTACCTACCTACATCGCCGGTCTCGTAAGTACTTTTGAATACCTGGTTATAAATTTCATTCTGACCCAAGTATTTCTTTTTGTTTAACATTTGCCTATTTCCAATCGTGACAAAATTATTATTAACTTGTAAAGTTTTTCTCTGCTTAAGAGAAGATGACATTTGTGCTTATTATTTCAATTTCAATAAAGGCATCTAAGACGATTTTATTGTATTGTGTGGAATCAAAGGAGTCAGCTGAGCTTTGTGTAGAGGTACCTACTCACTCAACGGCTGGCGGGCGCGGTCGGTCGTTGACCAGCGGTGGAATTTTAATGTTTTTCCGTTTTTTAGAAGTGCTTATTTATTAGTTGTTTTTCACTAAACTTGGCTGCTGTTTACACCATGGTATGTATCTGGGACAGGTAATTGCATCTGGATGTCTTCATTTTGATCAGAAAAAACTGCACCAAAATTAAAATAGCGGTCATGTTGAATACACTTTTACCACTTATTTAATATTTTTAACAACAAGAAAACACGTTTAAAAATTTGACAGCTGCAATATTAGGCTGTGGTTTGGGTCAAGTGTTTGCAGCGCCATCTATGTCGAGCTTTGCGTATACTTCTCCATTAGATTATGATGTTAGGTGCACGCGCACTGCGCACGCGCACTATGCCTCGTAGGCTTTGACATATCCTGTGAATATAACACTTGTTTGTTGATTTGTTGTTGTTCAGATATTTGAAATTTCCACAAGTATTTCGCACGTTTCAATAATTATTTTTTTTGCATTAAAATAAACTTTAGTAACAAATATTGATGGATTCGATTGTGCATATAAATAGTTACACAAAAGAGAAAACTTAATGACAACTTTGGAATGATTAAAAGCTGTAAAAGATACCAATAATTGAGACATTTCGTTGGCAAAAGCAAAGTCCGGTGTAAACCACTATCTTAAGTGTAAAATTAAAATACGAAGTACCAAATGTTTTTCATATAAAACAAGACAGAAGCAAAGTAACAAACATAGTGTCAATATGAAAATATGTTAGTCGCCTCATTTTGGTCACACAGCGTCACAGCCCATTGTAGCCATCGGAAACTGTTATCTATTAGCGAATCCCCGCTGATTAACTTGACCTCAGTTACTATGTATGTATCTGTCTACATTGTTGGTTGTTGTTCGATCACATTTTTTGGAAGTACTTAAATGTATATTTTTTTCAACATGTGTAAAATCAGGATATAAACTATATGGGTGCCTGTTTTTATCCAAATCCATTCATTCACTATTATATGATTAACTTACAAACATCCAAGGATACAGGATTTCATATTTGTGTATAATATCAGTAGGATCAGTCCAGTTTACGAGGGGCGGCTGAAAAGTTTTGAGCCTCAGGTATTAAAAATGATGATAGAAATGTATAAAACAAATATTTTTCAATATAATCTCCCTCTAATTTAATGCACTTCCTACATTTATTAAAAAGAGCTTTTAACCCTGTAAAAAAAATATTTGCCGTCTTTGCCTTCAAAATGTTCATTTACGGCCGCCTTCATTTACTCGTCACTTGAAAATCTTCGTCCTCGGAGGACCTTTTTCAAATTGGAAAAAAGGAAATAGTCGCTGGGGGCCAGGTCTTGACTGTAGGGTGGGTGGTTTACTTTTTCAAAGCCTGTTTCGGCGACGGCACGCCTTGCAACTCGAGCAGTGTGGACGGGCACATTGTCTTGCAAAAACAGGACTCCTTTTGCCAGTTTGCCTCTCCTTTTTTCAACAATCACTTGGCGAACCGTTGTCAACAATGCGGCATAATAGTCGCCGTTCATCGTAGTATTTTTGGGAAGGTAGTTGATAAACAAAATTCCTTCACAATCCCAAAAAACAGTGGCCATAAACTTGGATGCCAATGTTTACACTTTGAATTTCTCCCTTTTCTATCCACTGCATTGATTCTTGTTTTGACTCCGAATCGTATTGTCTAATCTATGTTTCATCAACAGTAACAAGGCGAGAAAAAACATCGTCAGGATTATAGCCACAGATGTCCAAAACTCCTCCGAAGTTGTGACGCGACGCTGCTTGTCAAGCGGCGTGAGCATTTTCGGCACCCACCGCGCACACACCTTTCTCATGTGCAAATGATTATGCAAAATGTCACCGATTCATTATTTGCTAATGCCTATGGCTTCAGCTAACTGCCACAACTTGATTCGCCGATCCTCCAGAACAACTTTTTTCACTTTTTTAATGTTTTCTTCGGTAACGGCGGTGTTTGGGCGTCCCGACCTGAGATCATCTTCAAGCGACTCCCTGCCGTGTTTGAATTCACGGCTCCAACGTTTTACGGTGGCAAATGAAGGTGATGATTCCCCATAAACTGCAGACATCTCTTCAAATATTTCCGTCGGCGTTTTTTTTCTTTGTGAGGAATTTTATGACAGATCTGTACTCCAATTTCGTAGAAAGCGCTGATGAGTCAGACATGGTGATGTTTAAGGTTCAATTACTATAAATGTAATGATGCTAATGACATGAAACTTGGTATTTATATTATTTAGAATACCCTCAATTAGTGGTGTATAGCACAACTCATTAGTGATGATTAAAGGTACTGAGGCTCAAAACTTTTCAGCCGCCCCTGTATACAACGAATAAGAAATTAAGTTTAATGATACTTTATAACTGCTTATACTGGAATATAATTCACGAGCCACAAACTTGAGTTTAGCTGATGATGTTTAATGCTGGAAAATTCATATGAAATATAGAAACTTACATCGGGAACCTTCTCGAAAACCGTGTCCACTTGCTCTGAATTGTAGTAGATTAGCACTCGACCATCTGTGGTCTTCTTGAGGCCGATTCTATCGCCCGGCCGTAACCATTCGAAAGAGGGTACGAATGTATGCACCTCCTGCTCCCGAGAACCAGCCTTCGAATATTTTATATATTTCCCTGTAACGCAACAAATAAATGTGTACTTTAATATGCGCCATAAAACGTGTCACTACTCTGAACTATAAAAGCAGTGAACGACTTTAAAGGCCAAGTTTCAATAATCAACCTACAATAAAAGGTAAGGATGATCTGGTTCCGTTTCTTAACAACTGTTGTCATTATAATTTAAATAACTAGGCAATAGAGCTCCAATAGCGCCCTTACTGGCGTTCAATTAATTGAAACTGGCTGTTAAGGAACAAAAGAGGCAATGAGACTCAATTACCAAACTTGAGTGCGTGTGCACTAAAGGTCGTAGTAGAGATACTAACGTTACGATCCCGATTATTTACAAGTTGGATAAAAAATTAGGTACTGAACGGCTGGAGTTGATACGGTGATGATCCCATTTTGAGTTGATATGTCTGCTACGACCTTAAAGCGTCCGTCAGTCAGTTTGCGTCCAAAAATAATGTAAAATTTTGTAAACGGAGTGTTTTACCGTCAATGTAAGCAGTGTAGTGTGGCAGATACGATACTGAGGGCGGGAAGCTCCGATTGACGTGCGCGTTGAGTATATTGATATCAGTTACTCCCATACGGAAACTGCCCGCGTACCCATACTTGCATTCCACTATTTTAATCTGTAGCCAAGTAAGAATAATAAACATCATCAGCATATTGACGACCTACGTGGTAGAGTGGTATGTACACCGGGTTTCAAAGTATTGTCTACTCATTAGGTCCTGGGTTCGATTCCCGGTGAGGCAAATGTTGGTATGATGAATTGGAGCATTTGTAGCTAAGTAATGGATGTTTATATGTCTTTCTACATTAAAATATACTTATATATGTATCAGTATATTATTATGTATTCTATTCGTTACCCTAGTATCCCATAAAACAAGCCTTTCAGCGCTTACTTTGGGTCTATGCTAATTGGTGTGACTGTTAGAAATATTTATTTATTAAAGTCCCCATTGCAGGGACAAAGATGGAATAGGGAGATTGGGCTCTGACCCACCACGAAGGTCCAGAGCGGATTGGTCGGTGCTAACGACTGCAGCTGCAGCTGAGTCGTTAGCACCGACAACAACTTTAAGTGCCTTCCAGAGCACAGAGGAGCACGAGATAATAAATTTTGAGCACCCATCCAGAGACCGGCCTTAGCGAAATTGCTTGCTGCTGCTTGACTTCCACGATCGCAGATCGAACGCGCTTACCACTTGCACTATCGAGCTCCTTGACAATAATAATTATTAATATTCAACATTCATTCATTCATCGAGAATAAACATGATTAATATTTAACACCAAATTTTAACTAATAACGCCGCCTCGTTAGGCGAGGGGCCTAACGAGACGGCGGTATTAGACCAGTGGTTCTTAACGAAGAACCTCTGGTCTAATAGAGGCTCCAGACGGAGAGGATACTCCCCCGAGGGGAGATGCCAACCCCCTAGCGGCACTCGCTCATTCTTGGCTCTCCTTTTTGGATATGACCCTCCCCACACTCGGTGACGCTGTAAAGGTCATTTGAGACCAAAAGCATATACACACACTCAAAAAATACCTTAATACCACTACATTAGGTATTGATTTGGTATACCACACTCAATTTATATATTTTTTATGACGAAAGCAGTTGTATCACCACCGTCGTGGCGAGTTACAAAGAGTCCGTAGTGAGTCCTCAGAGGGTTTGAGTGGAAAACGGAAATAAGGCTTCCAAAATCTTCTAAATATTCCTATTTCCTACCATTTATATCTATAGATACTACATTTATACATATAATAAAATGGTAGGAAAATCAAAACTGTACATTGAATATTTTTTAAAAGGATACTTGGTGTGTGATCTACAGTCGATACCGAAGACAAAAATATAATTTTTAGAATTTTTGTCTGTTTGTCTGAATGTATGTGCGGGATAAACTTAAAAAGTACTGCATGGATTTACTTCAAATTTGGCACGAATATTATTAAGAAGGCGGGTCAACATATAGGCTACATATTATCACCTACGGGGACCGAGCAGTGAACCTTTATTTCTAACTAACCCCCCACGTAGACGTCGCGGGCGGCCGCTGGCCGCTAGTGCATTATAAAACAGAATCACTTACTAAATAAAACTAGTTTTTACGGGTTAATGCACGAAACTTTATTTATTTATTGACGTTTCGTAGCCTTTACAGGCTTCGTCGTCAGAATAAAACTTTTATTCAATTTGTCGAGCTACCTAAGAAACAAATAGAATCACTTACCTCAAAAACCTCCCCGACGGCCAAGTGGGCGGAACTAAAAACTAGGGCAGCCATAGGGTCCGGGGTATGCCGCCGCGCGTAAGAATAATCGTGCATCAGGCAAATGTTATCACCGCAGTACTCTGAGAAACTCCTGCAAAAGTCACCACAATTGTTTCTATACAATTCTGCATGTTGAGAACTATTAGCATACTATTCAAATAACCGTATAAAGTGACCAACTGTGAGACTGTGTTAATTACGCTTTTATGTAGGTATTAGTAATGTCGTAAACTGTATAAAATTTAATTAAATAACGCATTATGATTTTCGGTTTACTCAGGTCTATAAAGCAGGTAAGATAGGGAGGGGGAATGGCGTTCACTTAAGGTAAACATATGGTGTATTCAGGTGTATTCTTTTCATTATTTATTTTAAATACAAATTAAGAAAAATAACAGTCTTTAAGTATCGAGAAATCGGCTGTCTGTAAGAGATCCCCTTCCCTCGCGCTTCACGCGACGTAACGTGTTGCTATGTTGCATTTTGACAGAGTTACAGAGTTAATCGCCATTACCCAGTGAGCACTATTCCCCCTCCCTACCCTACTTAGTAGGTTACTTAAAATAAAAAACGATAACACACTAAATCCACTCTATATTGCATTACAGTAGAACGCCGATTATCGCCAATTATCCTAAGCGTAATATAAAAAATTAAAACCATGTCATTTTTGTTTTGTTATAACAAGTTGGAACTCGCTGGAGTCCAGATATATTTCAACTGTTATGGTTGAAAGCTAGAGACAAGACACAACAAGTTTTACTCTTCTTATTTTTGTTTTTCTATTGCTACTATGTACCTCTAATATTGTATCTACCTAGTCAGGTCATATTCTGTCACATGTTTAATATAAAATATTTGAAACAAGTTTATTCATTATATTACCATTTATATACCAAAATGAACTTAACAAAACATAGATTCTTATGTCAATAAAGTTTATTTAAAATGACCTCCGTGATTTTGAATACAGGCCTTCAATCTGCGCGGCCAGTCGTCTATCACAGCACAAACGAGGTCCATGTCAATATCGGCGGCTGCCTTAATTAAGGATAATAATAATAATATAATAATAAATCGTTTATTTTCTCATCACAAACATTTTGGCATCGATAACATTTTTTTTTAAAAATATATTATTACATTAATGTTTGTGTGAGACTGATGCCCGTGCTAGGTACGATATACCTGTGTTACAGGTCATCAGGCTCCCACCACCTCGAATCGCCAATGTTGGTTAACAAAAAACATGAGTATGAATATAAATTTAACAAAGTTTACTATTTTTTTTTTTTTTTAATTTTAATTGACACAGGTTAAACAAAGGGTGTATTTGTATGAAATTCTATGCAGTGTGTATGTGTATTTGGTGTGAGTGTGAGTGTGCGTGCTTGTGTATGTAAACGTGAGCGTGACTATAATTATGTGTGTGGATGATATGATAAGTGTAAGACAGACAGCTGATATTTTCGCGGTATATCATCCTGAGGTGAGCAATAGGTCCTCTGTTTCGTCATATGTTAGCTTAAGTAGCCATGAGCTTAGTTTTCTTTTACAGTCCCTTTTGGTCATTGAATAAAAGGAAAGGATTGTGTTCAATTTATTGTAAAGGTAGCTAGCCATAAAGCAAAAGAATCTTTTTGTGAACTTAGTTTTTAAAGGACGGGTAGGACAAACAGTTCCCTTACGTCGTCTACCATTTAGAGCTTTCCCATCAAAATGAAGCTGAGAGTGCTTACGAAGAACAGTTGATAATATAAAGAGCTGACGGACAGTAAGCACCTCCCAAAGCCTGTAAACGAGTCAATCGTGGCATGAAGAATTGGGAGTGAAGCACCAACCTTCAGTACAAGCCTTTGCGCTCTTTCCACTTTGATCAGATGTGTTTTTGCAGCTCCTCCCCAAGATGAAATACAATAACTTAAGATTGATTGGCATAAGGCGAGATAAACTGATTTAATAATTTGAAAGTCCGCAACATGGCGAAGAGTTTTAAAAATGTAAATGAGCTTCCTTACTCTACCCGCCAGGAGCTCAATATGGGGATAAAAGCTGAGCACTGAATCAATCATTACACCAAGATATTTAATACTATCTGTCTTTAGAAGTTTAGAGCAGGCGCAATTATTACTAGATAAGCAAGAGTGAACCGTCAGAGAGAGATAATCATGTTGAGTCTGCCGCCCAGAGGAAAAGATAATGAACTTGGTTTTTGTGACATTCAGGGTTAAAAGGTGCCCCGACAACCAGTTAGATACCACATTCAGTCCTTCCTGTGCCCAATCAAAAACCTCTTTTATCGAATCAGCGTGAAACAGTAGAGCAGTGTCATCAGCGAACGCTATTATTTTACTGTTGGAAAGTTTCAGTTGGCATAAATCGTTAATATATATTAAAAACAACGTTGGGCCAAGAACACTGCCCTGAGGAACACCGAAAGTAACAGGTAGCTCCTCGCTAATACATTTCCCGACTCTAACAAGCTGTGATCGATTGCAAAGATAGTCAGAAAACAATCTAAGAGCTAAGCCTCTGATTCCGACGGCTTCAAGTTTTTGAATCAGGATTGGGACAGAGACCGTGTCAAACGCTTTCGCGAGATCAAGGAAAACTGCAATCACCTTCCTCCCCCCATCCAAGTTAGTGGTAACATAATCAGTCAGTTCATGAACAGCATCATCCGTTGATTTACCCGCACGAAATCCAAATTGTGATGAAGATAATAATTTGTGAGATTCGAGGTAACAGATTAATCGCTTGTTCATGATACGCTCCAGAATCTTGGACAGGACAGGCAGCAAAGAGATCGGTCTATAGTTGTTGACACAGTCCCTGGCACCACTCTTGTGTATCGGTATGATGAGCGATTTCTTAAAAATGTTCGGAAAGATACCCGTTTCGATACTCAAGTTACAAATGAATGTTATAGGTGTTATCAGAAGGTCCATATAACGTTTGATGAAGCGACCCGAAATCTGATCAACCCCTACTGTGCAGCTTGATTGTAGCCCCTGAATGAGACTCTTCACCTCACTTTCATCCGTGGGAATGAGCACAAAGGACTCGCGAGAGGGATTCAGAGTGATTTTATTTAAGGGAGTACCCTGCATCTTGGCGGCAAGACCTCTTCCAACATTAGCAAAAAACGAATTAACTCTGTTTACGCTACCCTGAGGGTCGTCCTTTGCGATGAGGTCCATGGGGTCATTTCTATCCTGCTTGAAGTGTGTTATATTTTTAATGGTCTCCCAGATCTTCTTACTATTCTTGCTAGCCCTAAGGATTTCCGCTTTATCATGAGCTCGTTTAACCTTTTTAAGTAAAGAATTACAGAAATTTCTGTATCTCTTGTAGGTTGTAACCACAATATCATCTTCGGGATTCCCTTGAGCTCTCTTATGCAGATTATCTCTGTGACGCATACACCGCAGAAGTCCGGGTGTTATCCAGGGTTTGATGACACTTTTACGACAAGAAATATTTATATTATTGCTATTATCCTGAATTGCGTTTTGGAGAGCACTTATCAGGAAAATTGTGGCGTCATTGGGGTTGGAAACTGTATATAACTGTTCAAGGTTCAGGTTTTTCATCGCAACGTCAAGTTTAGGGTAGTTAATTTGAGTTCTCTGCTTCTGTCGGGGGGGAAACTCCTCCGATAGCATCAAACTAAGTGCAACACTGTCATGATCAGTAATAGATGATTGAACGACGAAACTACTTGCCTTTGTAGATACTTTAACCATTATATGATCAAGACAAGTGCGACCATGCGTCGGAAAAGTGTGGCCTGGGTGGATATCAAAGGTTGCCAGAAGATCAAGGTAATCCCATGAACGCGAGTCCTTGGTGCCTGACACTATATCGATGTTAATATCGCCTATCAAAACTATATTTTTATAATGTGAAAGCTGTGAGACTACCGTATTAAGTGAATTTAGAAAAACCTGGATATCTTTATAGCCTGGAGGTCGATATATAGCAATAATAACAGTCGAGCTGTTGATTTTTACAATTAGACAATATGCATGGTTGAATTTTGGTTCTTCTATAGTGAGATTCAGATGTTGTTTGTAGTAAACAACAACTCCTTCATTTTGGGTTAGATTTCTATTAGTAGTGGCATAATTATATCCGTCAATCTGTGGGATAAATTTTGACGACGGTAGCCAACATTCAGTTAAGATAAGTAAATCCCAGTTAATTATAGTCCTGAATAACAGTGTACTAAAATTGTCAAAGTTACATGTGATGCTTCGAATATTTTGCGACAGTATATTAATTAAATTTGATAAAGCAGGTATAGAATCTTGGAGATGCTCTGGGTCACTGCAGAAGGCTGGAATCGATTTAAATTCGTCCAAATTTGAGTTTATCAGATTACAATCAGGATTAAGATTATCGAATTTTATTATAAGAGGTCAGAGAATAATGCCGGTGCTGCACATTATGTAATTTTGGTGTCAAGACTTGATGTTTGGAATGTATCCTAAAGAAGAACAAAATCTTTAAATACACAGTAAAACAGCTGATAACTATTGAAGTAGCAAATATTGAACTCAATCCCCCGTAAATTATATAAATATTCAGTATAAAAAACAAGCCCATATCGAGTCCTTCATAAGTGTTATTGAGTTTAGGTTTGAGTAGAAAATCTGAATTTGATTGATAAGTGAGTGATGATGAAAGGAGTAATTTCGTAGTGTTGATAATAATGTAAAACTGTATATAATTTGATTGGTTAATAATTAAGGCATGCAAGATACTATGAAAATACGTTGATAAAAGCACTAGGAATCTAATACATAGTCATTCTTTTAGTAAATTCTTCAGGTCCTCTTCCTTTTCAATGCGTATTGGAGGTAGATCCTCTTTTTCCCTTAAATATATTTTAAGATAACTGGTCCAGCAGAACTCGTTATTTTTGTTTTTAGCAAAATCTCTAGCCATTACGTACAGCTTCCTACATTTGTAAGTAAGGCTTTCAGTGACAAATATTGGTACCTCGGAACCTTCTGAGTTCAAGTTCTTAAAGTTCAGTTTATTATTTTTGTGAGTACTATTGTATTTTCTTACAGATTTTATAAGACTATCACGCAATAGGACACTTGTAAGCTCTACTATTATAGGTGAACTTTCTGAAGTTTTATTTTTAACTCGGTGAACGTCCCGAATGTCCCCGGATTGGATAGGGATACTCACTGTTTCCCCCAGATTCTGCACAAATGTAACTAGTTCTTCCCGTATCTCTTTTGACTTTTTTGGGACGTTTCTCAGTTCAAAACAAGAAGATCTATTTTTACGTTCAAGCTGTTCAACTTTGTCCTCTAGACTTTGAATATATTTGTTAGTAGTCTTTCGCTCGCTTTCCAATACATCAATTTTCTTCATTGCTTGATCATATTTTTCGGACATAAAGTCCATTGAACTTCGAATTTCTGCATTTTGTGCTTTAACTTCTTCGATGGCCGATAAAATGCCAGCAAGTTTTTTGTCTTGTTCCTCTTTTGAATTTATAAATATTTCCATGAAATCATTTTCCAAGAGCTCACGTTTTCTTTTACGCATAGCAATATTTAAGGTTGAAGACGATTCGTTCTCAAATTCTAAACTTAAGTTCGGTTCTGATTCGCTATGAGGCAGCGCAGTAGCGGGCACAGCAGTGTGAGGTGGAGTGCGTTTTAACGGCATTGTAATAAAGTTGAAGTTGTGCAGTATCAATTTACCTAATTACACTTCGAATGTCGTAGTGGAGTGATTGTTCCGTAGCTATTCGTAGCGACGTAGCAACAGTAGTAAAGCCGTAGCTGTTAGTAGAAAGCGATTGCTATTTTTGTACGGGCTGAGCATGCGTCGATAGCCGCGGCAGGCACCTCACAGACTCACCAACTCCACGGGTCGTCGGCTCCAATCCACAGGCACTCAAAAATTTTTTTAAAACTTTTAATTTGTATTTAATATTTATCAGTTTAGAATACAATCTCTTGAGCGCACGTCCACTCCAAGTGGCGTCCGAGGGGGAAGGATGTCTTGAGTGACTCCAAAATGGGATGAAGCTTTGAGCACGCCTTTTCCTCCAAGTGTTGTCATATCTTGTAATGGACTCAAATCTGGACTGGAGGAGGGCCAGTCTTCGTGCCGGATGAAGTCGATTTCACGCGCCGCCAGCCAGTATTGTATGCTCTTCGCTCTATGAGCTGGCGCCGAATCTTGTTGGAATACCCAGTGCCTGTTATTGAATATGGTATGAGAAACAGGTTCCACAAGCCTCGTCAGGACTGTATTTTCGACATTCGTTTTTACACCTTACTCACAAAAATGTACCTCTGTTAAGCCCCAATAAGAAACTCCCAACCATACCATGAGCGAGGATGGAAAATGACCTCGTTGGACACGCGATCGATCTCTTCAGTCTCAGGTCCATTAGACGAGCATTCAAACGATGTCCTGTTTTTCTTCGATATGCCCGAAGCCCTAAGTCTTCATTTAACACCCTTTTCACCATGGTTCTGCATAATCCTATCTGAAGGGCCAACAGTTTCTGCTTACGTTTGGGATTTCTTTGAATTCGCTCCTTCACAGCTTTTATCACCGCTGGAGTCCTAACAGACCGAGGGCGACCACTACTTGACCTATACACTAGACTCTACACTAGAGTCTTCATTGTATCGTTTGATGGTGCGATAAACGAGTCTTTTGGCTATATACAATTTTTTCAGTATGTCAAAAATTTGAATTGGCGCGTAACCGCATCGATAAAACGCAATAACTGTAACACTGCAACTTCTTTAAGCGTCCACTCCATATTTGAAAATGAGTAAATTTCTAAAAAGTATACATTATTAATTTCATGAACAAGTCGAAATTCGAAATCAATTAACTTTTTTGTGTCCAGCATTCTAAAAAAGTTTTTACTGTGTGGCAATTCTTATGACCTGACTGTGTATTATTGTAGAACTGTGTTTGTTTAACCTAATAAAGTTTATTCTATTTGTGACAGTTATTTTTTCTCTATTACCAGTCTATGTCCGATTATCCGAATCGACCCAGGTCCCAATTAATTCCGATAATCGGCGTTATACTGTAGTTCATTTCATTAGGTGGATAAATGGCATTATAGCAGAGTACCTTACGGATAGTTAAAAAACGTTCGTATGTGTACGTTCTAACTAGTAATCGAGTTATCGCTCATCTTTAGTGTTTTAAACTGAACCCAGGTCTACATACTAGGGCTGCAGAATGAGGCCAGCATTAATAGCTCGCTCTCAATTCGGACTAAACTGCATTTTAAGAAGGCACTAAAGTCCGCTCGCAGAGCTGATAGCGAGGTTATATTGCTAAGTCTTACCAGTACGGCGGCGGCGGGGAAGACAGTGCCCTAGAGTTGCTTAGAAGAGAGTTGTCAGAGTTGGTGCAGCCATTATAATTAAACGCTCGCTCTTCGTTCTGAAGAATGGTTACCTGCACACAACATACTCGTATATATAACACTAGTGTTACAGAACAAATTGATAGAAATGGACACAGAAGACAATTAAAAATGCAAGCTTACTGCTTAGATGCAGTCAGAACGCAGTTCAGATGCAGTTGATATAATATCTACAGGTTAAGTACAGCGTCAATCCACTGAGACCCCGATAAGGTATTTTTGTACGAAACCACAATCATTGAAATAGTTCAGTACACTAATGAAGGCGTTGTTTACTTTTACAAGAATAAGTTAATAGAGAATAGACAGTCTGTACCCAAAACTGTATAGTTGTTGTTATCCAAATGACTATGAGCTTTACACTGATATTAACATACGATTCACAATCTATTGATTTTTACATTTTGTGGTAAATTATTGTGTGACAGTCTGTGCATACAGCGACTATTAGTTTGTATTGTACAGTTTTGTCAAATGCAGCAATTTCGCAGCCAACGTCATTATAGACCCTATCCTCCTTATCAATAAACGAAGTATAAGCTTAGACTATTTACGCCGTCTTTTATTCATATCACTTAAGTGCTATTTGTGATTCAATAAAGAGTCACAACATAGAGTAACAAATCTAAGCTTATACTTCGTTTATTAATAAGGGGGTAAGAGAATGAACATTTACCCCTTTTTTTTGGTATTTTTTACGTTAGAAGTGGTGTCATTTCTGACATGATTCTCTAAAGCTAAACTTTAATTTGACAAGAGTGTATCCTTGTCATTCTCTACACAGAATGAAAAGGAGAGACTGATGTTAAATTTAGTTTTTTAGTTTAGAGAATCATGCCAGAATCTACATCAATACCACTAACCTGTGTGCACTGCCCATACAGATCGACGACGGCATATATATTCAAATGGGGCACATACCACGCTTTTCCCATGTCCATTCCGTCTAAGTAATAATGTAGACTACGGTCAGCATGCCACATCATACCTGTTTGACGTCACAAAATAAATTTAATTGATATATGTATTCAATGAGATTTAGAACTGAAATAATTCAAAAGAGCATTATGACAACACTCGATTAATTGCATAATTTTTAATTTAGAGGGAACTTCGATGAAATAATAAGATTATTTTAATATTATAATTTCTAGACTAGCTCAAAATATATTGTGAGTACTTTACTGCTTGAGTTTGGACGTTTATGAATTAGAAAAAAAATATACTTTTCACTTTTCAAGCAGTTGTTGTCTATTTTAAAATTCATAAGAAGATTAATGTAAGAGACAAACATTTTCTTAAAGACTACAATTACATGGCTTTACGAAAAACACTACATTAATATTTCAATAACATTTTCAGCAAAGGACTTCGCATATATATATATATATATATATATATATATATATATATATATATATATAAAAGCACCCAATAGTGGATTTATTAAACGAAAATATTATAAGTTGTTAGTAAGAAGTCCACTGAAATAATAGCCGGAAGATACCTATAGGATAATAGGCGATTCAAGTTATCGAGATAAACCGACGCTAAGCACCCTACCTAGGCTTCATATGATTTTTCAACAAGGGTAAATGTATACAGGAATATAACGTCAATATACATCGTAGATACAGTCAACAAAGTCATGGCTAAACCACCATTAAGACACTTTTCCTAAATATGATCGATTCCTTAACCAAAACGTCGCCGTTCTTTTCGATCATCATCTCATCCATTGCACAAAAACTAATAATATAAGTATTCCTTTACTTACTTGCTAAAGTCCTCAAACTGGGTACGCAATTTTCACCCAAATATCGAAAAAGGTGCTATTGTTTGTTATTGATCAAATCGACAAGAGAAGGTACAATATCATCAATTTATTAATGTGATTTAAAAATTAACAACTTTAATTTTTACATCAATTGTTTCCATGCTGGAAAAGTTTTAATAAACTGAGCGGAGTCAGTTCCATTGCTGTACGTTAAGTGTACAAAATATCACTTCAACAGATGTCAATATGGTATTCGGAAAAAAAAACGCTTCTATACCCAATCAGACGTATAATTATTTCAATTTTATTCTGCATTCGCAGTAAACGCTATTAAAAGTTATTGTACGTATAGGTTATTTTAGTCGGATTTATTGAATATGGTGTCGAATGAATAAGGAGGAAATTCCGAGATCGCATTATAAAGAAATTAGTATAGTAAAATGTAATAAAACAAAAAATTGGAGTAGGTTTAGAATCTAAAGTTATTCCTGTTACATTAAAAATAACTAGAACGTCCTATTAAAGTTATATAAATTCCTTTATTAAATTCTAAAATATAAACAACTGTGTTGGTTAACGTTTTTATTTTTAAAGTATGGCTTCTGATCATTGACGTATAAAAACAAGTAGACTCACAATCGTACTCAAAAACTGTCGGAACCAAAATTACGTACAAGCGTCAATTGTGCGTAATTTTCAAATAGTAGTGTTTCATCAAACGCCCATTGATTACAACGCCACGCAAAGACAAAAACTGTTCGGTTAAATGCTGTGTAAATGACACCAGAATCACACTAAAAAAACATTAGTGTCGTATTTCAGGTAAGTATTATTTTAAACTAACAACATTGCGTCTTCTATCGTATTGCTAATCAATTACATTTTAATAGAAGTTACCACAAAATATGTTTACCAGAGTGCGGCCCTTGAGTCACGTGATCGTGCATGTCTCTCTCGCACTGTAATCAAACTGTCTCTTCCTCTCTCGTATAAAACTTACATTGAACCTTACGCCACAATATGACGTGTTCATTTGAACAAAATATGTGTTATTGTTATCTGTATATGTATAACACAGCGCCGCCCGGTCATTTTTTGATGCACTTTTGTGAGGTGATTGGGAGTCTACTCGTTTTTATTCGTCAATGCCTCTGATTGATATTACAATTTGTCGGGAAAATAATAAAGAACAACTCACCCACTCTACTGCCAACGGTAAGCGTGTCCAAATCCAGCGGATATCCGCTGCGTACACATTCGCCATCTTTCATCATGGCGGCGCCGCTCAGTATATAAGTGTCCCAGTTTAAATCCGTAGCTGTACCAGCAACTGCACCCACACCGCCGTTGCTTTCCAAATCGTCTGGCCTTATGGCGGTCACGCCTGTACCACAAAGAAAAATACTGTACACAAACTGTAAAAAGTCTTTGCATAGCAGCAGAAATAATGGGATTTACGAAACAACAGATAATGGTGTCCATCCTGGCATGATTCTCTAAACTTAATACTAAATTTAACATCAGTCCCTACTTTTTTCGTATCTATAGAGGTATGACAAGGATACACTGTTGTCAAAATTTAAGTTTGGGTTTAGACAATTATTCCAAAATCAACACATGTAACTAGACTGTGAATAAATGTAATGCTGCTTTTGGAGAGAAGGAAAAACAAAATGCATTTTCAACTAATATTCCAGCAGCCAGAAGAGGTACTTTAAGAAACTATTGTTTTTGCACAACGGCCTTGGTTTGACCTATGGCGTAAGTTACGTTGTTGAGTTTAATTATAGATATATGACTGATACGACAAATGGCGTAAATCAGCACATAATTCCACTTTTCTACCAGTGTGTCCGATATAGCCAAACAGTGATACACCATATATAACTGGCTATCTTTCTATGTATATTTTTTACCCGGCTGCGCAATGCAAGAGCGCGAAGCGCGACGCGCAGACAGGGTTATGTGTTTACCAGTCTATATATGTATGTTTGTTCCTTTGTGGCATACTAGAGACCAAACGCCTGGACCGATTTTGATGATTCATACATCAATCGATTCGTCTTAATCATGGGAGTGCTACTAAGGATATGATAGTAATCAAAATTCAATATGGGCAAAATTAGGCGCCATATTGTGACGAAATAAAAAAAATAAGTTGACAAAATATGTCGAGTGGGGTATCACTGTCTAGATAATCAAAAATCATATTTAGGTTCCTAACACCATTTTTCATTTTATATGATTGTTTAGGATCTACAACGCTTTAAAGTTGTATATTAACCACTTACGCTTTTAATTTCAATCTTACGTTTGTATGGATCTTTGTTACTCTTTCACCTAAAAAATACTGAATGGATTTTAATGAAACTTAACAGTAATAAAGCTCATATATGATAATTACATATATATAATAATTTATGTAGTTATTGAGTGAATTGGCCAATATAAAACAATAAGTGTCACATAAGACGGAAAAAATCTCCCATCTGCGAGCCATTTTGGCCTGCACTGCAAAAACAATAAAAGTTACATGAATGTAATGATGAATGAAAATGTATCTCTTAAATAGTTCTAAAAAAAAGTCCGTGACACCATATATCTATTTTTAATGTGTAAGTCATTACCGCTAAAATAGTGAATTAAAACTAAAATATTATTTGATATCTATTTCCAAAATGCACATTTTGTATTAACAAATCATTTTGTATTAACAAATCATTTTGTATTAACAAATCATTTTTTATCAAAACAAATTCTTTTATCGCTTTTGATATTTAAAGACGATAAACTTTGCTTTTTACACTATGTCATTTCGACAAACATTTAAAAAGTTACAACGATGACAAAGTGATAGCGCGGTGTACTATGTAAAAGAAAAAAAATGAGGTATTCGCAGTATCTAATCCTATACGAAGTACTAACCTAAAAACTGTGAGACAGTTCCTTCTTATTAAATGATGAAAAATATATGATCATAATAGGTATTTATGATTATGGAATTTTAATGAAAAATGAAAATTTTACTGTTTTTCATTTTTTTAACGATATTACTTAATGTTACAAAAAAGGTTTATTTAATATAATGACACATCACCCATTTTTCGCTAGTAAGTACATACTTATTGGAATCCCTGTATTTATTAATCAGCTCACGATAATATTGGTTTTGTAATAATTCTGCAAAATTCAAAGTAAATAATGTAGATTTTTATAGGTAAATCACCCCTTTCATTACCCTACGCCTATAAGTATTGCGATGTTGTAGCTAAGAATCAAGTTCCCATCTACTTCTATATGGGAATTCATTATATTCGATTTAGCTATTAGGGCACGGAAGCGCAACAAACAAACTCGCTTTCGCATCTATAATATTATATTATACTTACTAGTGATCCACCCGGGCATTGTACGGGCGAAATTTATTTATCGGGATAAAATATAGCCTATGTCACTCGGACAAAATGTATTTAAATAAAGAAAAATGTTATAATAAATAATGTAGCTACCTTATGATGAATTAATATTTGAAACCGGTTCAGTAGTTTGACAGATTATTTGTTACAAACATACAAATCTTGCCTCTTTATAATATTAGTATAGATAGTTAAGATAAGTATTTAATTGATGAAAAAGATTTAAAAATAAAGTAAGTAATAGGTTTATTTGATTATATTTGTAAAAGTTACTTAGCATTTGTGCTTAACAGTGATACGTTATTCGGTATTTTTATAACAAAAAAAAATGGAAAATAATTGCCATGATTGCACTACTGGGAGTACTCTTCATTCGAGCTTTACACTACCAATAAAAAAGGGTCGAACACAAAGCCTTTGACCTGTTAAATGTGAACGCTTTAAAAAGAAAACTACAAAGAGAACTATAAATTGATAATAAATGAGATTGCAATGGTGCTCTACCTAACGTTATGAAAATTTTATTATGCGCCTTTAGCATCTATAATATTATATTATACTTACTAGTTATCCACCCGGGCATTGTACGGGCGAAATTTATTTATCGGGATAAAATATAGCCTATGTCACTCGGACAAAATGTATTTATATAAAGAAAAATGTTATAATAAATAATGTAGCTACCTTATGATGAATTAATATTTGAAACCGGTTCAGTAGTTTGACAGATTATTTGTTACAAACATACAAATCTTGCCTCTTTATAATATTAGTATAGATAGTTAAGATAAGATAAGTATTTAATTGATGAAAAAGATTTAAAAATAAAGTAAGTAATAGGTTTATTTGATTATATTTGTAAAAGTTACTTAGCATTTGTCCTTAACAGTGATACGTTATTCGGTATTTTTATAACAAAAAAAAATTGGAATATAATTGACATGATTGCACTACTGGGAGTACTCTTCATTCGAGCTTTACACTACCAATAAAAAAGGGTCGAACACAAAGTCTTTGACCTGTTAAATGTGAACGCTTTAAAAAGAAAACTACAAAGAGAACTATAAATTGATAATAAATGAGATTGCTATGGTGCTCTACCTAACGTTATGAAAATTTTATTATGCGCCTTTAGTTTAATCAAATATTATAAACCTGGCTTTGGTGATTGCATAATTATTTAATTTAGTGATCTAAGGCAGTTGCCACCATTGTCTAAAACAACAGACGGGAATTACTTCTTTCTTCAACCTGCGACATAAACGTCATTGATTGGTATTGTATATAGGGTGATTAAAATCATTTGAAGTTAACTTCTGGCATCTACAATTGGGTTTCTATGAATTATGTAGGTATATCAAATTATGAGACTAGGGACTGACACTGAATTTGTGTATATCACAATCTTAGACGTCCGGCATTGACATGACAATGCAGCCACTGCCAATTGTAAATAGTCGACGAATAAAAGTAAATGAATTCTATATTTACTGCTAAACTATAAAAAAAAAACATGAACAAAAGATGACTTTTTGAGTAAGTTTACTATAAAATTTACATACATTAGAGATATTTATGTAACGACTTGATTTAACTTCACACATTTTTGCGAAAATTGAGGCCCATCTGTAGCCTTGACCCCGCTGGTAAAGTCTTTAGATGTCTTAGTAAATCAATCTTTTAGACCGACGCAAGGTACTTAATAATTCCCGCGATATTAATTCCCTTACTGAAGTAACAAGACTACGGTATATACCATCTTAAAATACTAACTAAAAAGTGTGAAATAAAAAAATTAAATTTAAAAAATCAAAAAACCCGACTGCTTAATTATTCTTCAAATAAAAACTGAAAAGAAAAAAAACAAGTCCAGTAGTCTTTAATTCTGTTAATAAGGAAGAAAGCTACTTTAACAGTCGGGACCCACTGTTAAAAAATATTATGTATACTTGAATATCTAATGGGTCACGACTGTTAAAGTAGCTTTGTTCCTTATTAACAGAATTAAAGACTACTGGACTTGTTTTTTTTCTTTTCAGTTTTTATTTTTTAAGCTTTAAATTTTGCTTTACCGTTCGAACGAGAATAATAAAGGCTTTGTACAAGCTACACTGAATAGTCTATACTAACGGCAACTGACATATAATAACGATCATATATACCTATTTCTAAGCTGCCGATCCAGCAGTCGACCATTTTGTCGATTCTCAGTTCGAACATGTCGCATTCGCGCAACGGCCGTGAACTAAACAACACCGCATCGTTGAACTCCGAGTAAACGGTGCCGCGGTACGCTGTTAGTCTGTTGCGGCTGAGGTGCGCGTTACGCCCGTGTACGCGGTGAAAACACATTTCACTAAAAACAATAGAAATGGCGAATATACTTAAAACATACGTAGCATAAAACCGAGTCTCCTGTGCCAATTTTCTAACAAAACTGTTCGACCACGTCCCTAATCGGTTAGCAAACACAAAAACACGGCGCAGGAGACCCGGTGGATATCTGCAAGATAATATATAGTTTTTATGAAGGTTCCATATCCAAAGGGTGACAAACGAAATCTTATTAGTATGAGTCTCTAACAGGACTATATATGTTGAACAGTTGAACAAAAATAAGTAGACAGCTAAAATTTGAAGAAAATCACGAAACAATATAATTTGTTTATTTGCAAATAGTATGGTGAACTTGTACTCTATATCATGTGATATCAGAACACGCGAATGTTCGTTTCTCTTCAGAAAAAAAAAATATTATTTTAAAAATAAAACAAACAAACGTGATTTCAAAACATTCTAAGTCAGGTAGTTAAATATATGTAAATACATTCTAATTTAGGAACGGATATATTTTAGCATGATCTTTTCTACTAGTTTATTTTAATTTAAGCAAAGGAATAAGAGCTAACTCACGGGTAAATAGTGGCATTAGATTCTGTAGACAGGGGCGATTCTGGTGAGAACGGTGGCGGCATGTAGCAATCAACTATAGTCGCCTGCGCAACACGTCCGTATAGATCTAAGGGAAAAATTACAAGTACGCATTATCAGAATGTCATTTCATTACCTAGGTCAACGATTAGAAATACGAATAGAAAAAAAGTGGTTCCACGCAAACTAAGATCAAGGGCGTGGCGAAAAAAATTGCGATCAACACGCCGATCATGGAATTGGTTAGGGTTTCCGTGTATCATTATCTTACTCCAATGAATGGATAGCCGAATTCATTTGCAGATATTTGATTTATCAATGTCTTTTGATTTGCCTGTGTGTGTGTTGCGTTAGTATTGAAGCTTAGTGGTATGAGTTTGGGCCCATGTTTCAGCGGCTTACGTAATAGAGTAATGCTTTCATAATCATTTCAAGCCTAGGTACCTTATTAAAAGAATCAGAATTGTACCTATACAAACTCTAGAAGTGCTTAAATATTTCGGAATTGTTAAAATCACTTAAGAATTACTGATTAAATTATTTCGATCACATAACAATTCTAAATATTCATAAACTATAGTTTTAAATAATATTTGAATAGACACTACATTGAATGATAAATTTTACGACACACATTTGATAAACAAGATTTCTAGCGATATAGATGGTGCTAATTGTACATATGTATATATAAACGGTTCGTTATCCTTCATTTATATTTCTGTAGGCAAGATTTCCAATTCGAAGGTAGGATAGATAGTTGCATATTGAATCAAAACGCGTCCTTTCAGTAAGTGACTATATTTTAGCATATTTTGTTCATTGAACACTGTACTGCTATACTTTAATTTAAGTAAACCATTGAAATAGATAAAATCTCTTCGCCCGAGGTATCAAAATGTGAGACGGGATTTTCTACTTAAAAGGTCCATTGATTGATTGTTTTTGTTTTTATGACTTCTTTTATTCACGTCAACCTTAGGCCCTGCCAGAATATCAGAACCGCAGCGGCCTTAGTGTCGTTGTGGCATTGTGCTGAGGCAGGGACCTAGTTGACCCTATTCTGTTTTTTGTTTTATTTATGTTTTTGTTGGTCGATAAATAATTTTTTTCTTTCTTTCTTATTATAAGATTATAATAGACTTACCAACGATTCCGAAGACATGTTCGGGTATGTTGAAAGCCGCGGGTCCCTGATCGAACCCGTTGACGTAAAAGTGTAATATACCCATGTCTTTCCGCATCACACCTACCGTGTCACCTTCCTAAAGTAAACCGCAAAATTTACAGATGTAGATGAGAAGATAAAAAAAAACAAAACTTTAAATTTAAAAACGATATTGTATTTTTATGGAAACGCAATAATATTCGAGGGGCTCTTCGTAATCAGATGTGATCAACATTTAAAACAAACTTTAAGATAAAAACGTATGTTAAAAGCGGATTTATTAGAATAAACATGTGTTTCTGAATTTTGTTGTTTTCTTGGAAAATCTTATGATTTTTATACAAATGTTGTTTGCATAAGTTAAAGCTGCTCGGTATTATAAAAGTAATTGATATCAATTACGAGTCTAACAATTTAAAATCATTTTTCAAAAAATAAAGAATTGACAATACATAATACCACTATACAAATAGACAATAGAGAACACAAAATCTCACCACTAATCTATTGAGATTGCGGACGTATTGCGGTATAATGATGCTGCCGTCTCGTATCACGTCTTCACCAGTCATCGCCCATGTGCCGGATCTGTTAACGTTATAAAATACTTTATAAACAGTCAAAAAAATGGTTAGAGTCTAAAATAAGATGATTATTAATAGGGTATTTGACTGTATTAAAAATAAAGTGCTAATTGTTAGCATCTGTGTTTAGAATGAATATTGGCAGGGATTTTTACTATTTTTACAAAAAAAAAATTCATAATTTTACTAAAAACCCACGAAAAAGATAATAGTTTTCTTATCTATTATATCTATATTAAAGTGACATTACATTGTATCGTTTGACGTTTTAATAACAGTCGTGTGACGTCACACACTAGTAAGACGCCATATTGTCCAGAAAAACGTTTTTGCGGCAACTTGAAAATGGAGTTTTATGATTTGGTCATTCTTACTGAAATACACAACAGAATGATGAATGTCCACTTTTTACGGACTCCATAAACATTAGTCAATAACATGAGATCGTTTTATAAAACTTGTCAAATACCCTATTGTAGTACCAAAGGAGATGGTGTTCTACTACTTTTTACAGATAAATGTAGCTTTAGCTTAGTTTCATATAAGATAAATATGCCACACAGAGGGTTTTTTGCGCTATGCATCTACCATGGAATTACGCCTTTTCATTGTATTCTATAGAATTTATTGCGAGTAATTCGCGCGAGGTGCAAACAATATTATTATTAAACACAAACTTTGCATTGCTCATCTTGAATGGAAACTTGATGTCGTTTGAAGAATGCTGCGTGACCCCAATTTCAATGCTTCCGGCCCACTTTGGTATGACTAGATCAAGCCTAACTTGGAATAGCTCCCCGGTTCTTAGTGTCCTATTGGTCATCACTATTCCGTTGTTGAAGTATTCGAAAGCACTACAACAAAGTGATACATATAACATAAACAAATAATATATGAGATATCAATGAAACTTGATTTTTCTTTATAACGTTATATTTTGTGGTAATTTTGTATTTATAAATAGAATAACATATTCTTCTTCATGTTTTACTTTATGTACAGAAATATTTTGCGGAGTATAATACATTAAGGAGATTATTGTTGAACGTGATCCCAAATTTAAAACAAATTTTCTAAATAAAATATCGTTGTGGAGCGCAATCGATTTCAAGCTTATAGTGGCAGATTACCATTTCTTCAACTGCACCACTATGTCAATATCTTTTCTTGTGATTTTTTTCCCATTTATTACAATGTGCGGTATTGCTACTATTTAATATACACGTAAGCATAAGCAAGCAATTATATAGTTATTTAAATGTTAAAATGTTTCAATTAGAAATAGTTTTGTGTTTATGAGTTTAGATAAAAGTCGAAAATTATATAAAAATGTTAATACTTACTTAGGCCTATGAGCAGTCTTACCATCGTTAATAATAATAACATTCGAATCACGCAGCGTATGAAATAAAAGAGTATGTTCGTCTAAAGTTGTTCTTAATCGACCTGAAAAAAAATACAGTATGTATTCTAAAAAGTGTACTTACAAAATGAATACTCAATTGTCGCAGTGCAGTATCTCTTCTGTTATTTGACGAAATCTTGTAGCTTATTTTATATTCAGTGGATGAAAATCCTGAAGCTATGAAATCAATTTCTACTTAAATTAATAAAAATGATTTTGTTGAAACAAAACTTTAATAAATATAACTCTTACTAGTATTGATTCTGACATGATTCTCTTAACTTTTAACTAAACTTAACATCAGTCTCTCCTTTTCATTATTTATAGAGAAAGACAAGGATACACTGTTGTTAAATTTAAGTTTAGATGAAAGTTGATACTTACACAAGTTTGGAAGTTGGTACGGAGTTGGAAGTACCGACGGTGGGTTTATATTGCTATCTACATCTTCACAGGGGTCGACGATAGAAACCTGTTGACAAAGAAAAAACATAAACCAACTTATTCCTTATGCATTCACAGTCAAAGCATGTTTGTCGGTGTTGTTAATTCATGGGCCATATCCCACCACGCGGGCTCAGTGCGCATTAGTGGGTGTCAAAGATTAAAGATGCAGCCGGGACCAAAGGCTTAACATGCCTTCAAAAGCACAAAGTAGCTTGCGATACTTAATATTTGGTTTCCACTTCTGTGAGCGGCCATTGCAAAAGTTGCTTAACTGCCACAACCGCAGGCCGAACTCGCTAACCACCGCACTATCCATATCTTGGTCATATTTTCAGGGTTCCGTACCTCGAAACAAAAAAAACATATATAGTGTTTAACAGTCTATATATGTATGTATGTTCCTTTGTGACACACTAGAGACCAAATGTGTGGACCTATTTTGATGATTCATACATCAAACGATTCGTCTTAATCATGGGAGTGCTACTAAAGATATAATAATAATCGAAAATTAATATGGAGACAACTAAGCACCATATTGTGAGAAAGAAAAATAAATAAGTTGCCGAAATACGTCAAGTAGCGTAACATTGTCTAGATAATCGAAAATCATGTTTAGGTTGTTTACACCATTTTTCATTTTATATGATCGTTTAGGATCTACAACGATTTAAAATTGTATATTAACCACTTGCGCTTTTAATTTCAATCTTTTGCTTGTATAGATTTTTGTAACTCTTTCACTAAAAAAATACTAAATGGATTTTAATCAAACTAACCAATAATATAGCTCATACATAATAATAGCAGAAAGATTATAATTTATCCAGTTATCTGGTTATAGTGAATTGGCCAAAATATAACAATAAGTGTCACGTAAGACGGAAAAAATCTCCCATTTGCGAGCCATTTTGACCTGCATTGCAAAAACAATAAAAGTTACATAAATATAATATATGGTGGAAACGTATCTCTTATATAGTTCTACAAAAAACTCTGGGAAAGCATATATCTTTTTTTAATGTGTAAGTCATTATAGCTAAAATAGTGAATCAAAAATAAAATATTATTTGAAATAAATTTCCAAAATGCACATTTTGTATAAACTAATTATTTTTTATCAAGACAAATACTTTCATCCCTTTTGATATTTAAAGATGATAAACTTTGCCTTTTACTCTGTGTAATTTCGACAAATATTTAAAAAGTTACAAAGATGACAAAGTGATAGCGCGGTGTACTATGCAGGAGCATGAGTATACTGCGGCACCCATTATTAAAAAAAAAATACCCATCCTTGAATATCTAATGGGTCCCGACTGTTAAAGTAGCTTTGTTCCTTACTTAACAGAATTATAGACTACTGGACTTGCTTTTTTCTTTTCAGTTTCTATTTGAAGTAATATTTAAGCCGTCGGGTTGTTTGACTTTTTTTAATTTACCTTTTTTTTTGTTTCGAGGTACGGCAACAAAGTAAACACTTTGTCTTTTGTCTGTCGGTCCGTCTTTCCGTCTGTCTGTCAAGACCCTTTGTCTCGGGAACGCGTGAAGGTATCGAGTTGAAATTTGAAATATACACTTAATTCTGCGGTCCAGTGAAGCTGTGAAGAAATTCAACTTCTAAGTTAACATACAAAAAAGGATACGGCCGTTTATCTGCCTGTCTGTCAAGACACTTTATCTCGGGAACACGTGGAGGTATCTGGTTAATATTTAAAAAATATACTAATGTTTGTGGTTTCTTGAAGCTGAGAAAAAATCAAACTTATAATTTACCTTAAAAATGGATACGGCCATTTATGTTGCGTACCTACAAATTTGTACGGAACCCTCGATGAGCGACTTGTCCGGTTTTTTTATTTATACTAAATATTGATAAAACCTTACCTTCACCGTCATTCCGTACAAATCGACGACCCCCCATACTTGCGGCTCCACTTTGTCCGTAGCCACGCCCTGATCGACACCGTTTATGAAGTAATGTAGTTTTCCATTACTTTTCCTCATCATCCCCACTGTATCACCCTCCTGCAAATCGTGTTGTATCAATTAATTTATTAATTTTTGATTATGTAGAAGCAAATAACATCACAAATAGCGCGTAGTATAAATTGTTAAGATAATTGATTTTTGAAAAAAGTTGAATTATTTGTTAACTTTTATTATTACTGGAACTTATCACCAAGCCATTTAGTAATATGTAAGTGTAACGTTTAGGTATCTCGCCTACAATACGCTAAGTCCAAGACGTTAAAAAGCCACATTAGCACCATCGCGCTAATTTTGGTAGTACGATCTCGCGCTCAAACATTATGAAAAGTTCGTTACCAGAGACCTCAATACCTATAATAATTTGCTGAATGCAATAGAGTAAGACATGCCATTTTAAAAAGGAATCAATTTTGATCGACACCTGCGAATGCATCCCTATAAACTCTATTTGATGTTCTAAACAAAGTTCGCGCGAACTTTGACTTCAACCTCAGTACAGCATGATTATAGGTAATTATAGGTACTCCGATGATCGCATGTTAGCGTTCTGTTACGCGGGTTTGGCTCGGCCACGACCTTACCGCTATGAGTGACTAACTAGAGCAGCGAACGATGAAAACAAATATCTAAAAGGTAAGAAGCACGCCACGAAGCGTAGCCCTAGGCGAGTCAAAACCTGGTCGGTGGCCTAGCAAATAGTCGGGGCCAGGCAAAATCAAAATAAGAATTGTTTATTCAGTTTAGGCTGTTAGAATCACTCGTGAATGTCTAGTCTAAGAGCTACGCCATTAAATTATAAACACTATGGCGAGAGAGCTTGTACTAAGAAGAACTGGAAAACTCAGCAAGGGCTGTTTTCTCCCTGTATTATTATATACAGTGTCGTCAAGTTGAAAAATGACTTCAATATGAGATGATTTACAATTTGTACGACTCCTAAGACCAGATATTCAATGACGAGCAGCCTTTATCTACGTTAAGTTATAATCACAAATACCATTATTAAAATTATAAGGTCTATGATAAAAATAAAGAAGATTATTATTATTACATTTTTATTAACAGAATTCCGTGTCCTTATGGTGACTGAACTATAAAATGCGAAACAAATAAATTTAAAAAACTGGCATACCCTCAATTCGTCCAGATTGAAATTTCCATACTCCATGCAAGTGCCATGCCCATTAAGAAGCACCTTGCAACCGGACATCATAATAGTTCCTGTGTCCATGTTCGTCATTGTCGATGGGAATCTGATTGTTGCTGGATTGTGTGTTGTTACACCCACCTAGCAAAAATATTATTATGTATCCGACAAATATTGGTAAGGCAGCTTTTGAAAAATCCATCTTATTCTCCTAAATTGGTTAATATCGACCCCTTATTTCTTAACTTGCTATCATTGTGAAATCTTATTTCATACAGACCATCCGTATTCTATACATTGTTTCTCTGTATAATCTATTATAATACTTAGGGAAAGTGGTTATTACGGTAAATAATTTTATAACATCAAATTATCACATAATGCAGCATTTTACGATAAAAAAATCTTAAAAATCTTTGTATAATGCATAATTTTAATATTATTACTCAAATCATAAAACACAGCAATATCATACAAACACTTAATTTGTCTTAAAATAATTGCGCAAAGATGGTTTCATCATCATCACTATTGAATCCCATCTTCTGGAGCGACAGGCCTTCACTGTGGCAAAGGGAGAATATTATGGATCATGATCCACCATGCAGGTCCAGTGCCATTGCTGGGTGCTAACGACGACTGCTAATACGCCAAAATCGAATGGGTAACGTGCTTTCCGAGGAGGTAGGGCTGGAGATATAAGTTTTGGTCACCCATCCAACGACCGGTCATTTCTCAAGATGCTTAACTTATGATAGTCCTAGATGATAGACCTTTGCGCCTTTGAGCTCCTCAAAGCTTTATTTTTATACGTGGGGTAGAAAATTTACCCACCCCACCTGATATCAAGTGTAGGTGGAGTCCAGTTGCGAAGATAGATGATGTGGCAGAAAGTGTGCCGCTGCTCCAGCCATCATCACCTTGCCGGCCTGAACCTGATCTCCTACCCCAGGGAGCCCTGGAACCCTACTCACAGAAACACGACACCACCAAGAGGTAGTGTTTTTTTACTGTAATGTGGAGGTTGCTTCCTCAGACGGGCGCTCCAATCCGAGCGGAAAATCCGCTGTGCCCTACCTCTCTCAAAATGGATTACACAATATACTAAAAAATACATTAACGGAGGAGGTGCATTTTTATCATTTATTCAACATAAAAAAAAATCACTATATTAATGTTACCTCTATGCTCCCACTCCACTTGTCTACCAGCCTATCTATACGTATTTCAAACAACTCGTTGTCGGCCAATGGTCGATGAGTCATTACTACACCATTGTTGTAATCATCCAACGGCCTTGCTCTTTCAGCAGATCTGCATAAAAAAAGAATCCGTAGTAACAAAAGTATTTTATAATTTTCCTACAAATTTAATACGAAATGATTAAAAATTTTATAAACTATAGCAGCTTTAAGGTTTCAACATTGTATGTACAATGAACTTGTTCCAAATAAAGTTATTATTATTATAATTACTTTAACTATGACTCACTTATTGTTGTTTGACAGTTTAACTAGAATACCACACCGTGGATGAAAACGAAGACGATCTTGTGCTGAAATGTAATGTTCAGAATATCACATTATTGAGTACTAGGCAACATGTAATAAAGATTTTTTTTTGAAATGAAAAGTTCTTTAGCACCGTTGTGATTTGATATTCGATGAAACGGAAGTAGAGTATTTGACACAAGATAGGTATCCGTAATTTCATCATCTTCCATAAGAGACGGATAGCGGAAAGGTAAAAATCTTGGGGTCGACACCAACTGATCGGTGGTTCGATCCTGAGCTCAGTATTTTTTTTTTCAGTTATAGAATCTATTTAATATATTTGTAGACAATTTTCATATTGGTAGACAAATATAATAACCTTTCCATAAGTAAATTTTTTGCACCCATGTTCCCAATTAATATGTTAATTAATAAGGAAAAACTTAGACTAGTTACACTGAGTTTTGTTCCTATCACTCAAATGCCATTTGTAATTCAATGAGGATACAAAAAACGGCGTAACTAATCCAAGCTAATTCTTCGTTTATTAATAAGGGTGTGTGTGCATAAGTTCAGAAACCTAATATTTTTTTATATAATATTGCAGTCAAAATAAACATTACAAAGTATATACTACTATGCATTTGACGTATGAATCTAATGATATATAAGAAGTATACTCTTTTGCAGGAAAGCTATGGTTGAAATTTATCCAAAAGGTTACTACTAGTTATTATAATTATACAAATTACCAAGTGCACATGCACCTTCCGACGTCATTGGAATGTATACACTCTGCGAATCTTTAGTCATGGACTCTGGAAGTGCACATGCCACATCCAGCTCACTTGATGTCAATGTATTGTCATTATTAGGATCCTCCTCAATCTAAAACAAGGATGTATTTAACCACTAACTTTTGATACAACAATTCAAAATTCATGGAAATAGAATGCAATAAAGAGAGCAATTGCTATCAGTAATATTGAAATTAACAGTTTTAATCCCTTTATAAAATAGACTATTGGCAATTTCATAATAGCCACTTATCATTACTGCTTAACAGCTGATAGTCAAAGTACTATCAAACATTTTGTTTAATGACCGACTTGCCCAATAATTTGCTTAAAAATTACAAACCAGACCAGTTCTCAGACATTGTCATGATATCGGATTTGTATTTAATCGCTTTTATATATTTCTGTTGTCATGTTAATTTTCTATTTAGTTAATTTAATTATAACTATGAATTCTAAGAAGTATTTCAGTAAAGAATATATTTAAATTAAACATATACACCTGTGAATATTTTACCTAGGACACTATAGTCATTGTATCAATTTATTAATTAAGGAAAAAATACTCTAGCAAAGCTCAATTAGTTTCAATGTTTGTAGCTAATAAAAATCACTAAAAATCTTTTTGTTTAAATCATTAAAAGCTTTATTAATTATAATTAAGGACTTAAATTGACATAATTAACAGATAGCATTAATGAACAATCTACAAAAAAAGGGCTTTTTCTACCTGATCTAAGCTGCTCTCCATGATAGGCCTCATTCCATTGGTGTGAGTGATGGAAACTTGAACACATTGACCATACAGATCTATTACAGCAAAAACTCTTGTTGGTAGATCTTTAGCAGCCAGACCAATGCACCTACCATTTATGTAGAACATTAACTCTGCCTATTAAAAACAATTTAAACTAATTTATTAAACAATTCATATCTTAAATAAAACAAGTTTCAACAAGATAGATGCACTGATTTTATATATTTATTGATATTTCGCATCCTTTGCAGGAAAGTAGCTCAACAAAGTTATTAAAAATCCTTATTCCGATGACGCATTCCTGCAAAGGATACAAAATGTCAATAAATAAATAAATTCAGTGCATCTAACCCGTTGAAACCTGTTTCATATAATGAGTATGTGCGTGAAAACCTTAGAAACAAATAAATTCATATCTTGTACCACTTTTGGCACAGGAACAGACTTATAAAATACATTTTAATATCATATAATGAAAATTGAACAATAGCTTTATCATAGATAAGCGTATGGTAGGTAACTAAGCATGCCGAATATTATATAATATCTTTGAATTAAAACTTTCTCACCTTACTAGTGCGCATTACACCCAAGCAATCTCCCTCTCGGAGTGTATCAAGTTCTGGGCCATAAGAATTTATGACAGTAACACCATCTTTTACAATAGAGCTTCCAGACATAATCTAAAAAAGTTTAGTATTAATAATAATATAATATGAGAATTTGTCTGTAACCAAAAGCTGAAGGGTTAACCTTAAATAGAACACAAGTCAATTCAAATAATCTGAATGCATACCCAGGCAGTGTTACGAAGCTTTGTTGCAGTAGCTGGAAGCTCCATATATTCAGGATCCAATGTTGTGACTCCAATTTCAAGAGATCCATTCCAAACATTTACCTGAACAAATAATAAACGTAAACATACGTGATTGATTGGTTGTGCAATATTATAAATGTAGCAATGTTATTTTTAATAAATAATTGTAGTAACTTATTTTGCAATGAACAAAGGAACTAATGACACTATTCTTGGCAAACAAATGTAAAAAAACCTACCTTTCTATCTATACATATTTCAAATAATATATCGTCTTTAAGAGGTTCTGCGCTTAAGATCAAACCATGATTAAATTCTACAAAATTTCGTACTGCAGTTAAATTGTCGTTTAATAACGTGACTCTGTCACCACACCTTCGATGGAATCTCATTGCTCTATTTGTCTTAAGACTTGCACGCAACCTAAAATTTATTTAGACAGTCTTATTTGGAATAATAACATTATTACAGTCTTTTTGATACACTCATTATTTTATTTACACAGGCAGCATAGCACCCTGAGGGAGGTGTATCTAAACATTTTATGTAAGAAATAACGATTTCACAGACACCACATGTTTTATGTAAAACTAAGACATTATTCACGCTGATATGGTTAGAAAATATAAATAATAATAGGGAAAACACAAAAACCCCGTGTAACTCTCACTCATACTTAAAAAGTGACAGCAATAGCCGTCCTAAATAAATCGGAATTGGCTCTGCTGTGATTGGTAGTTCGGTGAACCCAAGTGACATTTATAGTGATGTAATTAATTGCCTTGACTAGACTTGACTAATTACTTTGATTCCCAAATACAAATCGAGCAAAATTATTATCCGGGACGTGAACTCCAAAATCACATTTAATTGAAGCATTTACATCGCACTGTAATTATGAGTTATATATTTTTATATAATATAATCATGTAGCAACACGGCCGATGCGACCAGGAGGCGAGTAGGCATTCACAGCGTTCCCCTCTATCGAGTTTCTCTCGCTGGTGGGCCAAGTCACGTAACGACATTTAAATAACACAGAATATAAATATTATTTTATAGAATTATTCAATCTTAGGATTTGTTTAACAAAACAATCGACTCGTTAGTACAAATTTCAGATCTGTCAATAAAAAATCCTAAGTTCCATCTATGCATGATTTAATGTTGTCATTTTTATGTGTGTGTCGTTATTACTATTTCGTTTTTTGCGAAAGTATGTTTGACTGCATTTGTGCGCATATTCCTCCCCCCGCAAAAAGTGGCAGAATGATTTCAGTACTATTGTGTCACTATGGCTACTCCCCTACTGGCCGCGTCGGTCGTGATTCTCTATGAACATGTAATGTGAGCCATCAAATGCGGTCTAGTGAATAGGCTAGTTGATCCTTTTTGGAAAAAGGTTTTAAATGGTTAATAAATGTTCTACCAGACCGAAAAAAAATGTATTGTAATTTTTGGGACCTAGAAAGATACAAATCTTTAATTTTAAAATAAATTTTTCATGGACATACAAAAACGCTGTCGGCCATTTTAGTCTATAGATTATCTATGCTATGACGTCGACGGTAGTAAACAAAACCTCGTAAGCACGTAGAAAATAACCTATCTGAGTTTATAATAAAAAAAAACATGATTTCTTATAGATACCACGAAAAATATAGTAATTATCATTAATGTATTGTACGAGAACGTAAAAACACATCCTTGAAGACTCCAGGAAAGGTGTGGATTAAAGTGCCGAAAGAATTTAACCTACGCAATACCTGGTTAGAACTTGCTAAAAGTGAGTGATTTTACTTGAGTAAAATTTATTTTTGCGAAGATCGCTTTGATGTAAGTACTCATTGAATAATATTTTAAGTCTCTTCATTTATTATCAGTTTTAATAATACAAGTTTTAAAGTTATGTATGAATGACATTCAGTTGTTTACTAAAAGAGACGTCACAATCATGGCGGATGTGGCGAACAGCGTTTTTAGTGTTTACAAGGTATAGACAAATTTTTTTTTTTAAATTACATTTCTACAGCAATCTTCTGCTTTAATGAAGTCAAATTGATATATTTGGGTTACTTAGAACAGATACTTTAAGATATAAACATTTATTTAATACAATTCGACATGAGTCAACTACAGTGTTGCCAACTCTACGTCTTTTTACGTAGATCTACGTATTTTAGGCCTTTTCTGGAAACCTACTAACTTCAGTCCCAGAATCTACGTATTTTCTTATTTTTTTTCAAATTTGTAAAATAACTTAATTCACTAGAATAAAGAAGAATATTTTCCGTTACTTTACTTATAAACTATACAAATGTTTATTTCTTATAAAGATGTATCTAAACCCTCATGTATCTTGTAGAAAAGGTTCCCGTTATTGGTTTTGTTGACTAAATTAATGCTGGACGCAGGATAGGTGAAAGCAGAAACGACAAAACTCTTTGACTTAGTAGGTACATTCATAACCTTAAAAATTGTATTTTTAAACTTTTTCTATTATCAATGAGTACCTACTCACATCGAATTGATCTTTGCAAAAAGAAAAGACTTTCAGTCGATAAAGTTACAGGATTTAGCAAGTTTTAAGTATGTTCATGTGTAAATATGTTTTTTCTCTTGGCAATTTAAACCACAACTTTTCTAGAGTCTTTTACCAAGTGTATCAAGATAACTACTATGTTTTCTTGTGATCTATTAGAAATCATGGTTTTATAATATTAACTTAGAAAGTTTATTTCCTACGTGCTTGCGAGTGTTTGTTTACAAATGTTTTGACGTCATAGCATAGATAAGTCTATAGACTAAAGAGCGTTTTTGTATGTCTTCTAGGTAAAAAAAAAATTTTTTTTGTTCTGATAGAACAATTATTAACAATTTAAAACAATTCCAAAAAGTGTCAACTAGCCCATTTAACAACAGTTTATCCTTGTCATTCTCTATACAGAATGAAAAGGAGAGACTGATGTTAAATTAATTTTTAAATTTAGAGAACCATCCAGAATCGGCACCCACCAGTGTCTGTGTCTGATGGTAAATGTTTACCACAGCATGGTAAACGCTTCCAATGCAGCGACTTCTCCAAGATCTCTTTGTTCTATAAACAAATTGTTTAACAAAATACTCGTTTCATTCGGTTTCAAATAACTTCTTCATTTCACTCAGAAAAAAGTACGTAGATCTACTTACTTTTCATATGCAAAATTTTCCAATTCTACGTAATTTTCTCATCGGGCCTACGCCTTTTTCAAAATCCGAGTTGGCAACACTGGTCAACTAGCCTATTGCCCTTAAAGTAAAGACGGTAGTTTATCCCTTATCAATGTCCTTCTATGTTTTAAATTGAATGGACATTCATATACACAGGGAAAAATATTGTCTTACACTTAGTTTTTATAAGTCATAGATAAAGGTAAATATTGGTAAAAATAAGAGAGAAATCTCTTGTCCTAGAAAAAGAATGATAAGAATGACAACAGAATAGGGTATTTGACAAGTTTTGGAGAACGATCTCACGTTACTTACGAGAGTTACGAGTTTATGGAGTCCATAAAAAGTGGATATTCATCATTCTCTTGTGTATTTTAGAAAAAATAACTAAATCAAAAACTCAATTTTCACGTGAAAACGTTTCTCTGGGCAATGTGGTGTCACCGGTGTGTGACGTCACACGACTATCATTAAAACGTCAAACGATACAATGTAATGTCACTTTGACCGGAAGCTTACTAGAGTGTGACGTCATTTTAAGCTCCGCCAATCCCAGGCGTTTCAATCACGTGACAATAGATATGAATACTATTATCTTTTGCGTGGGTTTTAGTAAAATTATGAATATTTTTTCTGTAATAAAAGTAAAACCCCCTGCCAATATTCATTCTAAATACAGATGAAAATAAAATACAAAATAATAATTAAAAAAGTAAAAATAATAATTAATTAAATTAGCACTAATTAATACTGTCAAATACCCTATAATATTATATAGAATTTTTAGTAGGGGAGCCCACGATGCTAAATGGGGATTTACTCGAGCGTCGTGGAGACCTATTGAATTCTGAAGATCAGATGGTAAAAGGAAAAAAAGGTTACTTAAATGATGCATACCCTTTCACCGGTGGAAGAAGCGTCTAGAAGCTTTCAAAAATGTAAAAAAGAAATAGTCACATGGAAATACTCGAGCGCGTCAGATATTGATATTGTATATGGCCCTTGTGTCTCTGATGTTAATCTGTGTTAATCTGCCGGTTTGCATGGTGGGACTAGCCGTACGGATAGATTGAATATGGGGTAAAAAATAATTACTCGAGCGCGTCAGATATTCAGAGGGGATGTTAAGTGAGCCTAAACGAAGCTGATATCCAAAAGTCTGACGATTCGGAAGCGACGCAAGCTGGTGACAGCTTTTTTAAAATGCAAAAAAAAGTCGCCATCTGGAAATACTCGAGCGCGTCAGATTTTCAGCTTGATGCCCTGGTCAAGCTGATCTACAATCTGGCGAATAATCGGAGGGATTTTCTTTATCTGACGGTTTAAAGAAATTTATCTCCGTGATTTTTTTCTAATCATTGAATGTGATAAATATAATTCATAAAGAATAGCATGCAAATAAAAATAAGCTGATAATCTAATCAGGGTTAAATTAGACCAAGATACACTCATTGTTAAATAATCAGCTCATTTGCTTCAGTAGTTCGTGTGAAACTTTGGCGAAAAATTTTATTCACGTATACACAGACATGTTCGATATTTAAAAAACAATAAATATTAAAATACAAATAAAAAAAAGTGTTACATTTCAGTGTCTGGTAAGCTCGCGTGCAACACTTTATTAACGATTTTTGTAACTTCGGTTTGTCCAAATCGGCAGATTATATTTTTTTTGAATTATTACCTTCAAATTGAAAAAAAATTCAACCGCGCTCAAGAATGTCAAGACATCCTTTGTTTTGCAACTTTGCAACCCTCCTACTTCATTACGTCACTCTAAAATCGTCAGATTATTGAAATACACACTTTTCAGCATGCAATAGGCTAGTTGACTCATGTCGAATTGTATTAAATAAATGTTTATTTCTTACAGTATTTGGTCTAAGGAACCTAAATATATCGATTTCACTTCATAAAAGCAGAAGATTGCTGTAGAAATTTAATTTTAAAAAATATTTTTTAGTCTATATTTTTTAAACACTAAAAACGCTGTTCGCTACATCCGCCATGATTGTGACGTCTCTTTCAGTAAACAACTAAATGTCATTCGCGTGTTGTTATGGGTGGATTCTTTAGTCTGAATAAATTTTTCTTAAAACACTTTTAACTTTAGAAAAGTTTCCGTTTACTGATTTTTTTGACAAAACTAATTATGGATGCCGGCTTTGTGAAAGCAGAAAGCACAAATCTGCCAAGAATTGACGCATTGATGGTTGGTGAATTTTTTGCACTGAACCCCGATTTCTGCTCTGCGGAGCAGAGAAACGACAAGGCATCTATGTAAGTAAAGTGCATTTAGTATTACAATGTAGTAATAAACATAATACTGATACAACATATGAATTAAGTATAATAAAGTTGCGTAGGTTAATTTCTTTCGGCACTTTAATCCACAACATTCCTGGAGTCTTCAAGGATGTGTTTTTATATTCTCGTACAATACAATAATGATAATTACTTTATTTTTCGTGGTATTTATTAGAAATCATGTTCTTTTTATTATAAACTCAGATAAGTTATTTTCTACGTGCTTACGAGTTTTTGTTTACTACAGTTGACATCATAGCATAGACAATCTATAGACTAAAATGGCCGACAGCGTTTTTGTATGTCCATGAAAATTCTATTTTAAAATTAAAGATTTGTATCTTTCTAGGTCTCAAAAAAATACAATACATTTTTTTTTGGTCTAATAGAACATTTATTAACCATTTAAAACCTTATTCCAAAAAGGGTCAACTAGCCTATTAAACCACCATACCTTAATCTGACGCGCTCGAGTATTTCCGCCTATCGTTTTTTTTTACTATTCTGATTGGCTGGTCTACGCGCGCGGCACTACATGGATAACTCAGATTTGGTAGAGGTACTCAACTAGGTGTAAGGTATCTTCCCATATATTAATCTGCCGCGCTCGAGTAAATCCCCAAATCCCCTCTTGGGCTCCCCTATTATAAGGACAAAATTTCTATGATCCGTCCGTATTATATCCATGGTGTTTTGTCTAGACACATGGCAACATTCAACATCGTCCATTGAGT